TTGGTTCTCTGTTGCAGAAGAAGAACAATGGCAATGGGTCGTTTGGAGAAGACAACCCCCGGGGGGGAGGGGTCCTGCGCAGCTTTTCCTTTTTAGCTTTTTGTCCACGTCGTTTTCTGTTTTTGAAGAGAATTAAAACGGGGGAGGGAGGAGGTCTATTATTTCATTGGAGAAATTTCAGAACGGGGGAGGTTGAAGAAGATGACGTGAAGGGGGTCCGGGTCATTCTGTGCAGCTTTCTTGTGTATTGTTTTGTCCGTTTCCCCCTTTCGTTTTTTGCTTTTCTTTTTTTTATATAGTCTAGGTTTTTGATAGGGTTTTAGGTTAAGGGGTATGGGCCTAAGAATTATGAGCTTGGCAATTATGGGCTAGGTCCAAAATTAGGCCTAAAGTTGGGTTGCTCGAGCCCAAGCTCTATTCTTTCGCTGCGAACGAGATTAAAAATACGGACCCATTTGTTAATTATTCCTACTATTCAAATAATTATTAAAATAAAACTAACCATTAAAATAAATCTATTTTTGGTATTTTCAAATATCATATTAAAATAAAAATACGATACTATTTTTGCATATATATTTTAAAGATTGTTTTATATTAAAAATGACTACAAAACATTAATGAACTTATTTTTGTGAGTTTTTGTTTTCTTGTAATAAAATTAAAGTAAAAGAATCAAAATTACTTAAAATATTTATATTATGCCTAAATTAAATATTTTACGCTAATATATAAAAAATCTTGGGGAGGGTCAAATATCACATGTCTACAGTGATTTCTTTCCATCTATCAAAGCATTGGTGGATGGTGTAACCTAGTGGTCAATGAAATAAGTGAGAACCATGAGGTGTCAGGTTCAAATCCCACCAAAGACAAAAAATACTAGGTGATTTCTTCTCATCTATCCAAACCTCGGTGGATAGAGTTACTATGAAGTTTTAAAATGCATCAGAGAAAAAGATGATTTTATTCATGAATAACAAGCTCTTTATATAGAGCAGATACAAACGGAAATATATTAAAGGTGGAACAAACTGATATGATAAGATTCTGTGCAGTAGGATACACTAGAATATAGGAAACTAACAAAATCCTAAACCTGAAAAATAGGAAGCTAATAACAAACTCCTAAACTGAAGGATATCAGTTGTTATCCTTTAATACGCCCCCGCAAGTTAGGGGTGACTGGAATAAGCCCCAACTTGTGAAAATTGCGTAGAAAAGTGGTACGCAGAAGAGGCTTCGTGAGGATGTCGGCAACTTGATCAGCAGAGTGAAGGTGACGAACCTCAAGTGCTTTATGTTAAACTTGCCCGCGAACAAAATGGAAATCAATATCTACATGTTTCATCCTACTGTGAAAAACTGGATTAGCACAAATGTAGGTGGTACTAACATTGTCACAGAGGACTGTTGGTGGAGCAGACAATGGGAAATGAAGCTCATGGAGCAAATTCGTGAGCCAATTAACTTCAGAAACAACGGCAGCAACAGCTCGGTACTCAGCTTCTGTGGATGAGCGTGAAACCGACCTTTGCTTTTTGGAAGACCAAGAGATTGGTGAGTTTCCAAGGTAGACAACATAACCTGTTGTTGATGTTCTGTCTTGTGGATTTCCAGCCCAATCAGAGTCAGAATAAGTAAGTAAACGATCTGTTGGTTGTCGACATAGCTTAACTCCCATTGTGCTGGTGTGTTTCAGGTAGCGCAACAACCGTTTGATAGCTTTCCAGTGAGACACTTTTGGATAATGCATAAACTGAGACAACTTGCTAACAGCAAACCCGATGTCAGGCATAGTGAAGGATAGGTAGTGAAGCTTACCAATGATTCTTCTGTAAAGTGAAATGTCAACAACAGAATCGGCTTCAGAATCAGCGAAGGAGCAGGTTGATGTCATCGGTGTTGGGACACCCTTACATTCAACCATGTGCAATTCATCCAGAAGATCTATGACATATTTGTGTTGAGACAAATATATGGCAGCTGGCGTTGATATTACTTCAACACCCAAAAAATAATGCACTAGCCCAAGATCTTTTAGAGAGAATCGTTGAGAAAGAGTATCAATGATGGACCTGATACTTCTTCCAATATTACCCGTAATAATTATGTCATCAACATATATGAGAATGTAGACAGTAACCTCTACAATGTGAAGGATAAACAAAGATGAGTCAGATTTGGATTTAACAAACCCAATACTTGTCAAACAGTTGGTGAACTCGGTGTACCACGCCCTAGGAGCCTGCTTAAGTCCGTATATTGCTTTTTTTAGCTTGCAAACATATGTTGAATGTTTAGAGGACTCGAAACTAGGAGGTTATTTCATGTACACTTTTTCTTCAAGTCTGCCTTGTAAGAAGGCATTATTGACATCCAACTGATGAATAGGCCATGAGCGTTGGGTAGCAATTGCAAGGACCAAACGGACTATTGCGGGCTTGACAGCGGGGTTGAATGTAGAATGATAATCCAACCCAGGCCTTTGCGTGAAACCTTTGGCTACTAGGTGAGCCTTATACCTGTCAATGCTTCCATCAGGTTTATGTTTAACTCTAAATAACCACTTACAATCTACAACAATCCGAGAGGGATCACTGGGAACTAAATCCCACGTCTGATTTCTGATTAGAGCATCATATTCTGCTTTCATTGCTTCTTTCCAATGGGGGTATAGTTGTTCTTGACGGTAGGAGCGGGGGATTGGTGGTGAGAGGTTGGTTTTGGCAAAAAAAGTCTTGGGTTTCAGGCTATTTTTTTTTGATCGGGTAACCATTGGATGAGGAAGGGTGGCTGGTTTTGTTTGCGATGGAGGAGAAAGAACGTGACAGGAAAGTTCTCTTTAGTGAGACGAGCAAGGCAATCCCGCAAGCTGAATACGCGAGTTTGAGACTTATTGGCATAAGCAGTATAGAGGGAATCCCATGCCGCTTTGGCAGTGGCTGCATGCAGTATGGAGGGAATCACATGCCGCTTTGGCAGTGGCTGCAACAGCTACAGTGGCAGCAAGAGTTGGATCAACTGACGCTAAAATAACGTTTTGGATCAACTGGTCTTAACGAAACCAATTAACGTAATCGGGTTTGGCAATTGTCTGGTTGTTTGTGGTGGTGGTCTGGATAGGAGAAGGGATAGTCCCATCTAGATGGCCATAGATATTGTGTCCTCTCATGAGCATGGACAAACTTGTGCCTTCCAGAGGGAGAAGTTATGGCTGTCAGCAAGTTTGATCGGAAGTTGGGTAATTGGGTTGAACTGAACAATAGAGGTGATGCTTGTTGCATCAGAATTGGTAATAGAGGGTGCCATTTGTGGTGGGTGGGTGGGTAACAAAAAGGTCAGAACTCCGTGAGGAGAAAGAAAGCTCTTGATACCATATGAAGTTTTAAAATGCACCAGAGAAAAGATAATTTTATTCATGAACAACAGGCTCTTTATATAGAGCAGATACAAACAAAATACATTAAAGGTGGAACAAACTGATATGATAAGATTATGCGAGTAGGATACACTAGAATATAGGAAACTAACAAAATCCTAAACCTGGAAAATAGGAAGCTAGTAACAAACTAACTGAAGGATATCAGTTGTTATCCTTTAATAGTTACTTGGTATCGCTAGTGGGAGGTGGCAAGGGAAAAAAATATTGTTACTGTTGAATTTGGCAAAGTCCCACATCGGTGGGTTAGCCATTTGGTTGGGAAATTTTCCCT